ATCGGATATATATATATATATATATAAAATATCCGAAATATCTTTTAGCTAAAACGTGGTGAAACAAATTACTGAACGAATTCCCGAAAAATAAAAGTTTGGTATGACTTCAAATAAGAAGGCAACATTGAGGACACAAGAAATGAGTAAAATATTCGAGGTGAAGTGCACCGGCTCCCCATTCCACAGGAAGTCTTCCCAAACGATTGGATAGAATTGCAATCCGTTCATGGTAACGTTTTCATTTGTGTAGCACAAGCCTTTCTCTCTGCGGGTACCAAGTTTATCCTTTTTTGCTTTGGAGAGAAATCATTAGCGTCAAAACGGTCAGTGGGCCATCGTCAGAAAAAAACACGAATGTGTTAGTTGATCAGGTGGATGTTGATTCGTTCTTCACTCTTGGTCATTGACTTGCAGCTTTTTCGTCATCAATATAGGAGACATCATTAGTGCGTCATTTGGTGTGTACTCATGAGTTGACGATGAAACCAACAGCTGGTGTATCCAGATGCCAATTTTAGCAAATACGTGACAGCTTGGATAGGTCCGATTAAATGTGTTTTTTTAACGCTTTGAGTTTGTAGTTGCAGAATTTAACAGGAAAATTATTGTAAGAAGCCTCCCTGCTCAGTGTTTACTTTTCTAAGGAACAAGTGGATATAAACCAAAGCGCAAAGGACACGCTGGTTAATGTATTGAGTATTGTATTGAGTATGCGAGTTGCGACCGTTTAGATTCGCGCATGTAACGAGTGTCTGGTATGTTGTGTGCATATGTTTGGCACTTGAGGCCTTCTGTTAACACAGGACAGAACCGTATGAATAGCTATGCATTCGCCTCTCCCCCCTCAGTCACATTTTGCATAGTTACGTTTCAAAAAAACGGTTGTGTCCGTCCTCCAGATTGACTAGATCGTTAATGCGGGATAGCTATAGTTGAACTGTCCATTTGGAAGGCTGTATGCATAAATTGCATATGCTACTTGGTGGGTGCCCCACACTTTCGGTGAGTTCAACGTTTGGGATGTCGCCTAATATAACGTCCACCTCACAGCTAATCCGCTAAGATATCGTCAACAACTTGCAATATCATACAAATTTGAACGAGTAGCTATATATAGGAAGAAGGAATTAGCGTCCATCATCATCCTACACAAGATAGAATGGCATCCGAACCTAGAGCATGGACAAAAACCAAAGAACTGCTTATCCCACCAAAGCACATGCTTGTTTTAAGCTACCGTACAATCTGACGCCGTTCTTTTTCATCACAGTACCTACGTTCACAGCAAACCAATTTCTATCAGTGCATCTTTTATGGATGATCTATCTTAAAGGACACTCTACTTTTTGACGAAAGTAAGATGTTGACCTCCAAAAACATTATTTATTAGGATCATTTTTCGGGTTGCAATTCTGACGGGTAGCAAAATTTCCATCGCATTACTGGTGGATATGGATCTAATTCTTCAAAAATAAATTAAAGTCGGTCCCAAATATATACAAATTTAGCAATTGACAGAATAAATGTTTATTATAACTGTTTGAGAAAGGGATGTTATTCCTCATTCTCAGTGTTTGCACTTGAATGTTTATTATCAGGCAATTTTCATGACGATTGAGTATACTACAAATACAAATGAGAGACGTACTGGAAAAAAAAATCGAACTATCATCTCTGATTAAATACTTCATCTTTGTGAAACTGCAAATGTCCGACAAAATATGCCGCAAAATTGGATTTGAACGGTTCAGCCGAGTGGATTTACACAAGGAAAAATCTTCGCAAACTGCCGCACAGAATCCAGCAAACATTATAAAGCACCGTTAAAATTTTAATGTCACTTTTTTCCTGCGTCAAGGGTGACTGGACTATTATTGTGTGTTTGAGTTAAAACTCGAAAAAAATACTTTAGATCTAGTAAAATTCAGTACAACATAACATGGCACATGTCTGTTTAACCGAACATATCAACGTCGCATAAGTGGTCTCTTTCTGGTAGCTATTTAATCGAACTAAAAGGTGTTCGGACTAGGTTTGCTGAGCCAAGAATCTAACTGTTAACTACACGATGTACGCACTACTGTTCAGTACAAAAATGAGCGAAATCTTTGCCGTTTCGTTATATATTCTGTGCAACATTTGATTCACTGCTCTTTGCAGCACCATGTAGATGATTTAAGCAAATAAATGGTCTTCCTTGAAAAAGACGGGGACCTTTTGGGTTTGCTGAAACAAACCAGGGCAACAATTATTTAGTCAAAAAATCACACACATGCTAAGGATACGTCCTGTGAGTGAAGTACGTCTGTGCTGTGATATGGAATATCATGTACAGTTGTTTCTTATTATTGAGAATCATTAGCAGTGCTGAGTTACCCAGTCTCTAGGAGAATCTGACGCCGCGACTTTCCGATTAGTAGTCTAGAGCCTGCAATTATGGTCGCCGTTTCCTTATGCCTGTCTGTGTTTCGATTATTTATTCAGCCAGTCAACATCATTTACGTCAATGAATGAACAAACGGCTTCACCTTGGCATTCGTGCTACGTCTGTTACAGGTGATTGTGACTACTGTAATCCTGAGCTGCAGTACTCAGCGTACCTGAAATCTAGATTACAGCGTCCTGCTCAGTATTTCCCCTACGAACACA